GAAAATAATAATATGAAATGAATAACGATATGATAATGATGGATGATTATGAAAAATAGTACTTATGAATAAAAACTCATCTTAAAACTTTTCTCAGTAGTAATTAATCTTTACCTTAAGGAATTATCCCATAAAATTTATAATTGGTTCTGTTAATTTCCCAGAATAACCATAATTATTTTATATCGGTTATTTTAAGAATTATAATATATATATATATATATATATATATACATTTTTTTCCTTTGTTGTAGTTGTCGACAAATGTTTGTACTTCTTATTGAAAATTTCCTAAGAATAGCTTTTTATGTCAACAAGTTTTCTAATTGATTAATTTTTCTAGTGGTACAGATAGTACTGTCTATTTACTTATTTATTTTCGACCAATCATTTTTTTGAAGATTTTCTGAAATATTTACTATAGCATCGATTGACGATGTAACTGATGGAAGAGCAAATGTTAGAATTGTAGGAGTTATCTGTCATCAAAGGAATTGCGAAATTTTCGTCTTGTTTCAAAACACTGGAAATCATTATGGGAAGAACATGTTAAGAACAGGCGTAAAGCAATCACTAAACTAAGTATAGCAATAGATGAAGATAGTGGGAAGGTAAGATTTACGTGTGCATAAAAATGCTTTTAAAATTATCCATAGCATTCCCCAAGTTCAAAAAGTTCATATGTTAAAATGTGTATTGATTGCATTGGACACAACTGTGATTGTTATAATTTTTTTTTTAGTTAGTACTAAAAGCTGTTGCAAATTCATATTTCGGACGACAAGTAAATGTTCCAAATGTTGAAGAAAATATCCAACAGGCTTTTTCATTGATAACATTTCCAGTTGGTATGTAGCATCAACATTTGTCTTTACCAGTTTATTTTTGGTATCATTTGTATAAAAATGTACAATTTAATGATATAGACTTAGCTAATAAATTTGTCAGTGAGAATTATTCCTTTCCATATCGTGAATAGCGATTCTTTTCCAATAAGAATATAAAATATAGAAATAACGATCATAAACGCTTTTTTGTTGTTAAAAAGATTATATATGCTATGGGTTTGGTAAGTTTTAAGAGTTATAAAACAGAGAATTTGCTTCACCATCATACTATTTAGTAATCAGGAATTAATGTGTCGTTTGTACCAAGTTGCATGGTTATTCATACGTCCAGACCATGTCTATAAAATTTTATAAAATCATTCTACTTTAAAGATGTTTATTAATTGAATCCTTTGTCAGTATCTTTATTATTACACTTTGAGATTTTCTTTCTTCTTAATGCTAGCTTAAATTTTTAAGATTTGGTTAAAATGAAACGATAATTTCAATTTTTGTTGATGATTTTATGCTATTCTTATTTCAGTGCCTGATCTCTTCTGCATTAATTGTCTATTATTATATGGTAAAGCAGCAAATGAGAGAGTTCTGCGATTAATTACAAAACAAGATTGGATTATTCATACGGTGGTATTTGAAGGTGAATTGCATAATTTAACAGAGGAGAATTTATGCACTTTTCTACAAGCAATATGCATGCGGATAAAAGGAAATTTTCGACTATGCCTTCATTTCCAAGTATTCTTATAATTTTGCACTGACTTATTGTTTAGAATGCATCAGTTATCATCAGGTGATTCAGTCACTTTTGTTCTTTTCAATTTAAGAAACTTCATGCAAAATGATACCACAACTGGAAAAAGACTTTTGTTTTAATCTTATGACTAAACTATTACTCTGATATTGACTTGTCTTGAATTCCCATTACTGTCTTTCACTACAAAAAAAAGAATAATAGGAAAGATGATTGTATGATTAGAAAATGACAAAAAATGCCAATGCCTTCTAAGGACAATGAGACAGCAATTTTTCATTTTCATGACTGTCTTCAAAATTATCTTCAGAGTTATTCGAATTAATTTATATGTAAATTGCTTTAATATGGTAAAGTTCACGCCGCAATCTCGTACTGCATTATGATGAAAGTTTTCAATTGAGCTTATTTGTTTTTTCTAGAATGCTTTCCTGTTATCGGGTGTTATCTCAGACAGCATCATTGAAACTTGTAGTTCAAAACTGGTGGAATTCGTTATCGATCTTGACAGTGCATGTAGAAAAAAGTAAGTGTTTTTCTCATTACTTCATCAAGTTTTTTTTTTCCAGTACACAAAAAAGAATCGTTGCAAGCTTTTTTCCTATTTTTCAGCCAACCGATAGCGCTTACAGATCAATGTTTGCCATATCTGATTCGTGATGAAATATTGGCGATCATACCATCATATTCAAAAATTACAATTAATGGTATCGCTGTAGCACTTAAGGTCGAATATTTGGCAAAATTCTGTTTTGGAATTCAACTCTGCCAGTTTATTTGACTGACTCGTTTTCAGAGTGATTCCTAAATTATATGATTTTATGATTGCCTGGAATTTTGTGAAGATCTTGCTCCGGAACTGTCTCATCTCATTAGGAATGCCGAAAATATGAATGTTTTGTGAAGAACATAGTGTGAGGAAGAGAAATTGATTGGGCTTATTTTAAGTTAATTGAGCTTCGAAATTCAAAAAATTCATTTAGACTTGCTACTAATAAGATTACCCTATTAGATATGCACATAATATGAAATCGTCAATTTTCCATACAAATTCACATATTCAGTTGACTGAAATATTCGAAGGTTACACTACTGTGGAAGTTTAATTTTCGATAATCTGCGAAATATTTTCTCTCTTGAAAAGTTTATTGAAATGATTTGACAAACGAAAATTGAAAGTTGACTTCAGGCGTTCTTCTTTCGAAGAAATCGTGTAACGAATGCAATCAATTTCTTCACTACCCGAGCACTTACCGCACGACTTTGTCTTGGCTTGTCGGAAACTGTTACAGCTAAAAGAATTGGCGCAATAAGAGTGATTGTAAATCAGGTTTTAGTTAACCGATGCTATCATTCATCAAGTGGTCGTATAGGATGTAACGTGGTATTTTCTTTTTTTTTTTTTTTTCACTCTATGCTTTTATACTATTTGAACAAATTAATGATTAAAAATAGTAACGCATTGACAAATGTTTTTTTTTCTTTTTTTCCCTAAGACTTTCCCATAGAAATTGTTCCAAAATCAGTTTATAAAAGGAAATGATAGAGAGAATCATCAAATTTATCAATGTACAGATGAAAAAGATCATTATGATAATTGGCGACATGAGATTTGTCAAATTATAGCATACACAGAGATGATATTAAATTAGTAATTTAAGGTGAGAGATCAGAATGCTTTGCTTTCACCATCATCTTTCAAGTGGTCAGTAGAAGAAAAGACTGTAAGCAGAGCAAATTTGGTTGCTATATTCTGGGACTAGAAGTTAAATAGATATGAGCAATATCGATATGATGGAAAAAAATTTTCTTTGAATGCTTTTGTTGTTTTGTATTTTAGAAGGTGAAAAATATGAAAGATGTCGGAGTGATTGAATTCACATATAAAACCGGAGGCAGTAAGCGTAAGGAATCCAACGATATACGACGATTTTGCATCGAAATCGCTAGTGAAGTGGTTTGTTTATTTGTCGTTTTTGATGCTTACTTTGCATTACTTTTTCTTCTTTTCTGAATTTGGAAATTTGAATATTTCTCATGATATTGTGAAATTTACGCAATATTTTGTTCAGAAGATTCAAGAATATGTTGATTCGTCAGCAATCCGTGACGTCATTGTACATTCAACCTCGCTAGGTTCTGGTAAATTATCAAGCAGCATTGAATATCCATCCGATGTGAGTGATTTTTATGGTTATAATACTTCGGAAAATCGGAGTGATGATTATGAATACAGCGGTTATGATAGTGATGATCAACTGGTTTATGGTGATGGTTTACCCTGGGAATTTTTTTGAACTTTTTTCATTTCTTCTCAGGTTGTATTTTGTTATTATTTCGAATGGGTATAGTAATATATCATTTGTTTTTTTTTCCTTGACACTGATGGCATCAAACAAGGGAATACATTAACTGGAATCTATTATAATCCTGGAGGTTACGTGCTGTCATGTCAGGGAAATAATCGATCATACCAACTGATTAAGCAGTTATTGTGATATCAGTATATTTCAGTTTACTCCCTAATCACAAAAAATTAGTAGGGATTATTTTTTATTCCATTTCTTTACTTATTTTTTTGAACCATACTTATTTCTCGCTTGGTTTTTTTTTTTTTTCAACCATAGATATACACGAAACATTTAAATGTCATGATGGATCGTCACCTTCAGAATAACATTAATTTATTCACCATATGCTTGACATTATCATTGTAAATCATGAATATACAAGGAAATTTTCAGTTCTGAAGCTCTAAAAAACCGACTTCTTCAGGTAGTTGAAAACTTGTTCAAGCCCCGGAACATCGAATTATACGATTATGCAATTATGCAAACCTCAGTCCCAATTTTGTCCGGTTTCATTTCTGATAATTCTTGCATTGGATGTGCATTATAACTCTCACTGTAACTATAAGCCTGCATGTATTTCATTGTTTTGTATGCAGAATCTCGGACCAATCAGGTATTATAGTTATTAGTATAGTGATACAGTGTTTCAAAGTTCTATGGATATACAGTCTGCTTTTCAATATTTTCAGTTAACTTTGGTTTATTCGTCTTTTTTTACGGTCCACTTTGGAAATGCTTAATCTACTCTATTAAACTGGAACGGATCGAATTTGATCGGAATCACATCCGCAGATTTATGTGGCCTGGTACTTTCGGGATTTTCCCTCAAAATATTCGGATTTCTTTAAGGATGAAATATCGTCCCCACTTCACATATTTATTTAGCACTATTTTCTAAGCTTATTTTCCTTCCATCCATGTTCCTTCAGTCCCTGCACAGTATATATGGTTATCGGAATTAATAAGGTTAAACGAAACTGTTTTGCATATTTTAAGATCCGCCGATTTATTTTGGGGATGTTTATTAGATAATGAGAATGTCCCTATTGCACGGAGAGAATTTAAATCTTGATTTTTAAAAGCTGGAAACGTAATCACCTTGTTGCGGACGAACTTTATTGCTCGCATTCCTGATCATAATCTTTTCCCGTTTTTACCTAATCTACTGACTGGGAATTCCAAAACATTCTATCAAGCTGAAACAAGTCATTTCTTATCAAATTTGGTCTCAATCACATCTATAAATTCAAGTAGGCCAGTGCTTTGCCAAAATTATGAGTTGTTGGAGGATACGTTATAAATCAATCGTTTTATGCACTGAGAAAAATTAAACCAACAGGAACGAAAAAACGAGAAGAAAATGAGCGGGTAGTAGAATTAACAATGTATATTCATCCTGAAACAATTAGCATTTCACATAACTTTGTGAATAACAAAAAGCACAGGCGAAATTAAAACCCTTTATTAAAGCCCTGAGACACAAAATGCTTCACTTTTGCTCGTGGTAATGAAAGCATCGGATATCGGACAGTAGAATCTACTGCCTCCTACTCCTATTTTGGATACAATCAAGAAAAATATATGGACTGGAAAAAAGAAAAGGACATGAATCAGCCGAAGGTAACTGAAAATACTGAAAAGTAAATTGTGTATCCATAAAATTCTGAAGCACTGCATCGCCATACTAATAACTGTAATACCTGATTGGTCCGAGATTTTGCATACAAAAACAATGAAATACATGAGGCTTATAGTTACAGTGAGAATTATAATGCACATTCAATGCAAGAATTATCAGAAATGAAATCGGACAAAATTGGGACTGAAGTTTGCATAGTTGCATAATCGTATAATTCGATGTTCCGGGGCTTGAATAAGTTTTCAACTATCTGAAGAAGTCGGTTTTTTTAAAGCTTCAGAACTAAAAATTTTCCATGTACATCCATGGTTTGCAGTGATAATATCAAGTACATGATAAATAACGTTATTCTGAAGTCAGTGATCCCTTCATGATATTCAAACTTCAAAAATAAATTCGGGTAAAGAATCATGAAGGAGCTTGAACTACCTAATTATCTAATAGGTATTTAAGCAACTGATCAAGCTGAGAACTGCCGTTCCTTCAGTAATAATGGTATTATATTATTAATGCCTATTATATTATCATAACATAACTTTGGTTATAGCAGTTAAAAAATCATTTTGTTCAATGTGTTTCCTATATCTCTAAATAAATCAGTTAATCAAAATTAAACGAAAATTCATGGAGATACCTGCTTCCATCGTTTTCTTTGGAATCTTTCTCCATTTTCTGCGACCAGAACAAAAGCTGCATAAAGTATTTTTTTTTAATCTCATGAAATATGCATTTGATTAAGCTTTGCTTTTTTTTTTGTTTCTAAAAATTACAGACTATTAGCACTTATAAGAATTACCATTGGCGGCGATGACAGGTAGTGTAAAACTGTTATAGCGAACAATACGACCCCATGGCTGACTGCAACTTACACAACATATCTATAAAAAGTAAAGTAAACGCAAGGATTATAGAAAATAAGGCTAAATTTTCAAAAATGTTTGGAATGCTTTTCCAGTGACAAATTAAATAAACTGAACTGGTATGCTACAATTTCAAAATTATACCGATCCAATGCCTTTTAAGTGATAACCAGCTTCTCGTTCTACCACACATTTTGGAAGTGGTCGTTGATTCGAACGACTCCAAATTTCTTTACAAATACAAATATACTGGGAGTAGGTGGGTGTTACAACGATGTCACTGCTATCACAAATAACTGCATCACATTTTCTGAAAATTAAAACGGATCTGGGAATGGATAAGGAACATTTGTTAGTTATTCCAATTGCTTAAAATATGTATTTTTGGACATGAATATGAACCCTTACTACAAGGCGAAGTCTCGTCCACAAATAAAGCAAAATATCCCAACTATTAGTACGAATTTGTTGGATATCACCAGTATTTTGTTGGATACAATAATCTAATCTTGCATATTCTTATATTAAAGAGCTCAGAAAGTACTCCAAGCTCTCATCGTTCCTCAAAAAACGATAAAGGACTGTGCTGAAGAATTCGTATTAATAGCTTCTTGGCTACTCTGATGGATTGATTTTAACTAGCCATAATGATATCGGCATACATATGTCATGAGAACAGTAGGCCGGAAATAAAGACAAAAAATCGATACATACGGTCCACTGTTGCGTTAAATTTTCCAATGATATTGAGGTGTATTCTATTCCAAGTTTATGCGATTTCAAAGTAAATTCAAGAACAACACTAACTTGCATAATAATGTGTATCGGCTGGAAGTTGACGCAAACTTCTTCTCATCCAGCAATAGTTTTTTTCGGATTCGCTCCATAGTGTTTCGTTCTGCACGTTTTATCACCTGAATTTTTCACATTTTAAAGTACCGAATCGTCGCATTCAATCACTTTTCTTTTTAATTTTTGGTCGACATGTGGCATAAACAAAAGTGTTTTCTGTATAAATCTTTCCTCTAATTTTTCGATGGAAATGTTCCACACAAGATGAGAGTTAGATATGAAAATGGTTATTCCTGCTATGGTCATCCGTCTCCCCAAACATCTTTTTTTTCCATTAAATACTAAAAATACGGAAACAGGTTTTCATACCTCGTCCCGAAACCAATTTGGTGGTTTTTGATCGATCAACTGCAAAGCGCTTCGCATAATTTGCTCTCGAATGATATTTTTCTCCTCACGAGTTTGCAATTTCGGATCACATGTTAGCAAAAGACAACGTGAATTTGCAGCTCGACCTCGTCCTAAAACACATTTTTTGTTATTATGTCGAAATGAGATTAAACTTATCAATCCATATATCATAAGTAACTATTAGCGGTAATGCCATCAGGTAAATTTTTTTGCAGAATCACAGAAATGAGAGATGAGGATGTGATAAAGGTGTTCCTGATTCCATAACTACAACGCTTCACTCTTCCAAAAAAAAAATATTATAATACTTCTCGGTATGCCTGAAATAATTATTTCGAAATGGATGATGAATTCATTGAATCAAAGGTTGAATTACGAACCTCTTCGTTGCACATGTGCGATTTCATTGGTTACGTAATCGTATTTAATGACAAGGTTGCATTTCTGGATGTCGATGCCCTCTTCTGCAACTGAAGTTGCGCATAAAATTTTGATATCACCCGACGTAAATCGTGCCAGTATATCACGCTGTTGATTGATAGATTGACCACCGTTCTCTCCTGATGCATTGATACCTTTAAACAAATGACAAAGTTAAAAGTGATGAGAAGTGTAAAAACAGTTCAAAGCTTGATGTGGTTCTTTAGGGCGGCGGTCAAAAAGAATAAGTAGAAAGGAAGGGGGAGCGGATGCGAGAGGATATCTATCGCATTTATTTGTTATGAAGACCTACACTTAAATTTAGATACTGTAAGCAATCGAAATTCATTACTTTAAAAGACGGCTCATCAACAAGATAATCCCGCTCCCTACCACTTTCTTTAAGAAGGGAAACATTATCGAACTACAAAATTAAATGACTTTTGACAATATTCCACGACGATTTAGGATTTGAGTTCAGTATATTATCGAAATTTCGTCATGAAAAAATTAAACTTTGTAAGGTTAGTTGAGCAGAATTAAAAATAGCCGAATGAGTCAGATTTTGAAATTGGCATCAATCCTGGATGTTCCCAATACACGTATCAGAGGAAAACCTAGCATGATTTTCTGGAATCCAAGGAAATTTTATTTTGGTTTCTGAAAGCAGTAATTCTTCACGGATATTTATTTTACTTATAAAAACATGCGATCTTTCACTTTTTGCTTTATTTTAAGAGTTTCGAATTATACCCGTAATGAAATCCGATTTAATATCCAACATCTGCAAACTTTCATCTTTATTCAGTTCTTCTGATAACTGCCCCGCAAAATCTCTCGTCGCTACAAAAACAATAGCACGTCCATCCTTCTGCTTAGCAAATTGACCATGTAATTCACTAAAATTCGATTTGCCAATATTAAATATTCTTTCTTCTATCTGATAAAATATGAAGTCTTGAAGCATTTGCAAAATTTATTTCAAATAGTCTCACTTTCAATTCTGAAGAGATGACAAAATTACCGTAAAAGTTCATTGTATAGTTCATTGTCTGCGTTATTTCCAACAACAGTTTTTAGAGGACATGCTGAAAATAGGTACAGTTAGTAACTGGAATAATAATCATAAATATATAAATGAATAAATATATAAATTATAATCAAAACAAATAAATAAACAAATTAAAAAAACAAAAAAAACAAAAAAAAAAACAATTTAATTCTAAAATGATGTAAAAAATATTCAATAATAGCGAATAAAATGGAAGATAACCATCAGATCCAACATGTTCAAAATTACATTCGGGATGTTAAAATCTTTCTTAGACTGATAAAGGTAAACTTGGAACAAAAGCGAAATTAATGCGTCAAAAAAAAACCTTGCATGATGTCCACGAGTTCCTGATTTGCAGTGTGTCGGACAAGGTTAAATTCATTTTCAAAATACTTCTTGGCAACGTATGAAGGAAAATGAATATAATGTTCCAAGGAACGAAACAAAATCTGAAATAATTTGATCCAGAAATTCCAAATTCATCCTAATCCAGAAGCAAAGATTAAAGAGCATTTTGTTATAACTAAGCAGGATGAGTTTGTCAATGTAATTTTATCATATCCGGTAGTTCCACATTGAAAGCAATGTATTTCCTCACCAAACCACATACCAAATACGATCGCATGTAAGTTGCAAAAAGAAATACAGGTACTAATTGACAAAGTTTTTGTTGTAGCTAAACTATGGATATTTGTACAGCTTTTGCTGCTCAACAACTACACTTTATCGATTTGTTCGAAGCCTTAAACATGCTAATAAAGTGTGATTACACTATACTTTCACAATAATTATCACCTCAAACAGTGGAATACAGACGTACTGTTGTTTAGAATTATGTTTAAACAGATATTTAAAGATCAAATACTAAGTATTTAGCTAAGCATCAAAGTGGAAGTCCAATAACACCATTTACAAACATACTCCAATGAATTGTAAACACGTCATTATAAGAAAACGGTTTTCCTTCTCAAGCTTTGCAACGGGAACAAATTTGACCAACAACTGAGAAAACCACGTTTCATATACTGAAATAGCTGAATATTTAGACATGCTTTGCATTTTAAATATTGAAAATGACGACTGAATAAATTTCCTACAATCGGTCCAATTCAAAAGTACAAAAAAAATTAGCGAATGGATAACTTTCCACACCCAAAATTCCAACTATTAAAACACACTAACACGCTAACAACAAGAATCAACCTTTCGAGAACTTATCATGTGGTGGATTTTGCAATCTACGGAGCATTTCCTGGTTCGAAGGCTCATGTATTTTGTCGGAAATGGAAACTGACCTCGCTAAAACGAACAACACGCGGAATACCAACCAAATTAGGTTTAATAAAAAACAATTTTGACTCGTGATTCACTGGAGGCAAATCATTTAAATTCGATCAAAAATTTATGCAGTAGATTTAAATTTTAATGAAGCTTCCCAAAAATGCATATGCAAATATGAAAGCAATATTATGTTTTCTAAGCGAAATGGTCTATAACACATTTAAAGCATTGGTATGGCTTAATGGAGAGAACATGAGCAAAGCTCAATAGGTTTAATTATCACCTCACCGGCTCCAAAGCCGAATGAGGATCAGCGGGTAGTTTTGCGTAATTAAACCAAATTATATACCAATCCTGTCTAAAATGCCTTCAAATCGCCTGAAGAGATCCAAGATACCAACAGCTACTGAATAAGTGGTTACATTGGATGCGACCAGTTTCGTCTCTACAAAAGATTTGGTACTAGCTTGAGGCAATCAAAAGAATTTATGGAAGAATTAAAAGCTTAATTAATACGTTATAACAAGTTGAAAAGCCTCGAAATTTGACTTGAAATAATAGTAAACGAAAGAAGCTTTTCAGCATTAAAGTGCATCACCGAATCTACTATAAGTGTCAAAACATGTCAAAAAAGGAGTTAGTGTAATCTTTGCTTGCAGTTTTTATACATGCTCTAACATAACATGTTTTAGATGAAGATATTTTCCAGTGAATTCAAAAAAACCTTGCGGAATTCTTACCGTCAGCAGCAATGGAAGTAAACGCACGAAGTTCATCGATGTTTTCATGCACGTAACTTAAAACAGTGATATCCAAATTCGCACATATTTTAATAAAATATTCTACTGCTTCCGAAGTATTTTGAGCATTACCAATACCCAATGAAGCTGTCAAGCCGACAACCTGCAAAATATTAGCTTCAAAATTTTCAACTAAAAGCTAAATTGATAGTAGCTACACTCCAATTTTAAGAAATTTTAGAAATTTGATTTTGCTAATACATTGAAAGACAAAAGCAACCAATTATTTAGGTTGGTACTTTTTCGCACGTATCTTGTAGAAAAGCTTACTGTGCCACTAAATCTGCCTTTCAACCAATATATTGAGAGCCATACTCAACAACATGTTCATATCAAAATAATGCAACATATCAATACGCCGCGCAAAGCTCAACGGTAAACCTTCTCGAAAATAATACCTGAGGTAAGCGTTTCCCGTCCAGAACCTTACCAGCATGCTTCATATCGTGATAATTATTCATGATTACTGGAACAGAAATTTTTTAGCAGGAAAATGTTACTAGCATACTGAATAATTTTTCCGGTGCTTGGAAATTAAATTAAATAGTTCGACAGTGTGAGGATGAATTCGTGTCTCTATTATAATTGTGATTGACAGGATTTTGAAAATACCATTGTAAGGATGATTTCCATCTGTATGATGAGCTTCGTCGAAAAACATAAGCGAAAATGAAGATAACGAGAAGGGCAAACCATTATCTTCATTACAAGTGTTCAGGAGATTCCTGGAATATTAAATGATAGAAGAAAGGCTGGAAATGTTTGTGCCATCAAACAATACTATTTGCACTTCGATTAAAAACTCAGCGTTTGACCTCGGAGAATACTGTAAAAATTTGTAGTGCACAAAACAGCCCAATAATCCATCACTTCGTAAATTACGCGAATTTTCGATGTGAAACAATACTTTTTTCGTAACAGTACTGGAAGGAGTGTGATGTTTGAATTTTTTGTAAACATCGTTTGAATCAACTTATTTGAGCGTTTGGGAAGTCATTCTACAAATCTTTAGACTTTCTATGAACAATTGAATAAGAGTGTAAAGAATGAATATATGTGGAAATACTAACACAATAAGTTGAGGTGTAATAACGATAAGATCATAAGCTGCAATTGTCTCCGCAATAGGTGTATTCACCGTTATACCGCTCAGAAAAACAACTTTCCAACGATGTCCAACAAATTTCTCAAAACATTTTGTCTGTTGCTCCAGAAATGTTGTATTCGTGACGAAAAAAGAAATCTGAAACTTTTTGCTTACTCTTGATATTGAATTTGCAGCGAATAGAAATTTACCCGAGATAAAAAGACCTTAACAGAAATACTTTCTTGGCAACTTCTTCAGATCCAGTAATCATTTACTTTGCAACAGGAAAATTTGGCATTCTGACGTAACCTCACAAATATTTTTCATGAGCTATTCAAAGATATTGAAAATAATGGGAACAGTAGCAAAGCTTGTTGCTTGAAATTTCCTTGTAAAAACAAGGGAGTTCCTTTTTGTTTTTTTCTCTTTTTTTTTTAGAGAGAATGTAATAAAACCAAAATTCTTTATCTACTAAATATTTCCAGGATAATGTTCCTAAAAAAAGAAGGAAAAAAATGAAATTGAAATTGTAAATTAATTTGAAAAAGAACTGTAAATTTATTAAGATTTTGAAACACCTTCGTATGCAAATTATTTTTCCTGCCCATTATAAGGTGATTTCGTGCGATCGACGCTGCTACCACGGTTTTGCCAGTTCCTGTTGGTGCGCAAATTAAGGTATTTCGTCCATTATAAGCTGGTTGCGCTAATTCTTCTTGATATTTTCGCAAAATGATGACTTCGCCTGCAAAGAACTTTTCCTAATTTGTAGTCCCATTTACTCCAGTTCCCACAATTTATTATGCACACAATTTTTTTATCCTATTATTCGCAAATTTCATCCAATAACATACTCTCATAGACCATTTCGCATTGTCACATAATGTATTTAGCATCTCGCACACAACAAAATCCCCTAAACTATAGAAAATTATCCAATCCATTAAAATTTCTTGCATTCAGCGAAGTATTATCCACAGAAATGACCGGTCCGAGATATAATTAAATAATTGACTGATTAGGATTCTTTTCCTTGAATATCAGAATTAATTTAGGAAGGAATAACAAAAACCTTCATAAATGTCATCCTTGGCTGCATCTGATGCACTGATAGGAAAATGTTCATAACGTAAATCCACCATGCATACCTTGTCCAGTTTATCTGATCTTGACTCCATGATAATACTCGCTATTGGAACATCACATTCGCAGAAATAAAGTTTTCCTGGAAAAAAAAGAAAAAATAATTAGCAGAATCGTAAGAACGAGATACCAAAGCGCTATTGCCAATTATGGAACGCATGCTTGATATGATGCAGCTGAAGACAAAAATGGATGAAAGAAAAAAATAGATTGGTGTGTATTTCCCTCAGTCAATCTCGTTTTCTGGAAGATCAGTGTTTAATGAATCGATTTGGGTTGAATGGTTGATGGTAGGTTAGCCCGCCGTTTTAGGATGAACTAGATCGTTGCTCAAAAAACGTGAAATCTAGAATCACTATTTCAAAAATGACCAAATATCATGAAAGCTTAAATACAAGGAGAAAATTATTATAAAATGAAAAGTAGTGGTAGCTTATAATTGCGATCATGAAGATTTTTCGCATAAAAATAAAGGATAAGCCTGGATAACTTCACCGAAGAGTTTAAAAGAATGAAAAAACAGCTAAATAAATGAAACGGAAGACAAATATAAATCAAACAACGAATTCCATATTTGCCCCTTCTCTTAGCTATTGAAAATTTCAACCAGATGCAGAAACTTCCCGGTATAGCCATACTCATTTGTCGGCCAGGATTTAAGGCTAAATTAATAGAAACGCAGTGGAAAACAAATATGTTGACCACCTTCCTTGTTGGGTTTGAAAAACATAAGCAAAAGTTTGAATAAAATAAAATAATCCATAATTTGTGTATAATTCTCCTTTAAAACCACAAAATTACAATTTAATTTCAAAACGTAGGTTTTAAAGCAGAAGATTAAATAATGTTAAATGTGTAGGAAGTCAAATAATGATTTATTACAGAGAGCATGCAGTTTATTGCCATCAAAGAGCAGTTCATATGGTTCATATTAATGAATGCAACAATCAGCCAAACCTCTTTGCGTTTTCCCGCGTTCATGAAGATATAAACCTGAAGCGAAATCAGTCGATTAAGAAATGTAATTACTAGTCAATCACTGTTCCATTTTCCAATATTTGTATATGTTTTATATAAAAAACATCTTAAAAATGATAGCAACGGGATAAGAAGCAGAAATTTTCAGTCAGAACATATCCCAAGTACAATTACAAGAATAGTTATGCGAAAAAAAAAAGAAAGGAAAATTAATGAAAATTAATATTCTGATCAATCGGTCAATGAAAAAACATTTTTATATATCCAAAAATCTCTTACAGTGACGAACATCTATTCTTTCGATGGCATATGATAACAATCATCCTTAAATGAACAAAGCTGCTAAAAGATAACGAATGACCAAGCACGTCGGCTGGGTCGGTATACCCATTGCCATACATGACTATTTTATAAGCTAAAAGTGTTTTCATAATTCTAACTGTATTGCTATATTCTCTTTCCAATCTAATCGCTGCTCAAAGGATCAGTAGATACTGATCTATAAATTTAATCCTTCTTATTTGGAAAATATTTTTAACGGCTTACGATAATATCGCTCAAAATCAGGATATGATTCCGTTACAAAATGATGAGCAACATCAGAGCAAGCAGCCAATGCGTCAAGTAAATCCAGGAATGCTCCCTCACCCATATCAAGTATTGCTCGCAAAATGTATTTCTTGGCAGATATTTCTCCTTCAAAGAAATACAAAATAAAAATCAACATATGAACATCAACAGTTGCATCTTCGCGTATGCCATCGAAGAGGTATGCAACTATTAGTTAGAGCAGTATTAAGATAAATATTCGGAAATAATGTAGGTTCATAAAGAATTCTTTTTTTAGTGTGGTATCGAAAACAATGTATTAATAGTAGTGTAATTATGCACTCTTTCTTTGAAATTTTAAACCTGAAGTTTCGAGCACAGATGCGGCAGAAATTTGAAAAGCAGCATTACCTAATTATCAAGTTACAGGTTCTCCCAACTATTTACTAGTGATTTTCTGTTTGATAACATTTTCTCTTTCATAGCAATTATGAGTATAGAATTCGACTTTAATTCCTATTGTACTTCAGAAATTCTCAAAAACTAACGAGGAACAGCAAATAACAGTTCACCTGATCGCTCAATTATGTTTTTCACCGGCATCATCAAATTCGCATGATACCGGCTTATGCAAGAAATCTTTTCGCACACAATATCAGGTTTCATATTTTTAAAAATTCCATCGAAATTTTTTAGAACTTCGACAAAGTTGAGCAAATTGCTTGTAAAATTAGTGCATAACTGTCGATGAAGCCTCTGATCACCTAAAATTGTTACAGAATAATTAATATAAATTCCAATGAAATATTTATTTTCAACCTTTGGAAAAAAAAAAAACCCCAATTTTTTTTTCAAATTTTAAGATATTAAGCTACATATATGTACTTCTTTGACTACGTAAAAAAATTTGTACAATGCAAATTTCATGATAAAAAAAATCAATAGGCTAAGCAAATGACAACATCGCAACTTCCGTCCCGATTTATCATGGAACGTAGACCAACGAAATCAACCAAAAATATCTGATGAATTCGATAGTAAATGTTCGAAGATATATCATTACGATGATCGCATACTGTATAACCACTTATTTTAATTTTTTTAAGAAAGATCAACAATGACAAGAGCTCTCAATAGTTCTTAATGTTTCTACCTAATGTTCAGCATAGCAATTGCTAACATTAGGTAGAGACATTAAGAACAATTGAGAGCTCTTACCACTGTAAATCTTTTTTTAAAAATTAAAAAAATGCATCCAATTGAAATTATAATTTCAATAAAACCTACAAGAAAAGAGGAAGGAGAGAACGGTGTCAAAGAGAAGAGTACGTGTTGGTGCGTTCCAAAGCCTTTCCCATAGCTTTAATGAAAATGTAACCCAATTGAAATTATATTGTTCAGCAAGGGTTTCATATTCGTTAGGCTTGAGAAGTATGGCAAACTTGACAGCTTCCACATGATGCACCGCAATCCTGAAGAACAACAACAATTAGATTATCAAAATGCTACTGAAAAAATGAATTTTGATGTGAATCCTTCCAATCCCTAATCCACTTAAGTTCCACTCTAGTAGTGATATTCTCTTACTCTTATCATGAGTATTTTACAATATTACGGAATTTTCTGAGGAGTACGTTAACACAGTGAAACATAAAATGAGAATCAAAGAATTTTTCTTCTAATTATTTTATCTGGGAAAGAGTAATTGATGTTTATACCGAGTGTTTCTCATGGATTAATTGAAAAATTTAATTTTTCACCAGTCAATTCAGTAATTAAATATAGATGCTTGTCATCATTTAATAAATAAATGACATGATAAATTAAGTAACATAGCCAAATTAAAACGACAAAAATCTTAACAGCAACTCTGACATGAATGCGTTAATAGTACTTATAAACGACAATTCTGATAATTCAATGCAAATTTAGTACAAGTAAACTAAAGAAAAATTTACGAAACGAGTTTGGAATGTAATTTCTTTTTTTTTTAACAAACTATATTTCAAAAATACGGCATTAGTTCCTACAAGCGATGAGATTTAAATCTCCTCTCTAGCTAAAAAAAAAAGAAATTGGGAAAATAATAGTTGAATAATTATTTTTACACACAAGTCCTCTCAATCATAAATTTTTCAAACCTGATAACTGAATTCGAAACCTAATACAATAGTGGAGATTTATGCCATATCAACTCAGAAATACATACACTTTTATCCCATTTAATTTAAATTAACAAATGATCAATTAAAAAAATATATACAATTTATATGTATACTAAATGTAACCTCATATCGAAATAAAACAAATATAAAGCATAAAGATGATGGAATGCCTATAAAAGAAATTTCTTCACTACAAAATTACCTTTTTATAATTTCGTCATCGTACAAATACAGCAACTGTAATTCTTGCTCGGGTGACATCGCATTAGCAATTACTATTGTTGTATTAATATTGTAAATGTTGCTACAGCAGCAACAATAATAATAGTAATGGTAATAATAATAACAATAATAATAGTAATAATAATAATAATAATAATAGTAACAAGAAGAAGAAGAATAAGAAAAGTGACCTGCCAATTTTTTTCCTTTCGTTCGTCGACAGGATATAAAAATGTTGGTTAGGCAAAACCCTGACATATATGGATGACAATTAAAACTCTTAAATCTTCATCTCCAATTTAAAAAAAAAAGAAAAAAAAACGAAAAAACGAAAGAAAAAAAAAGAAGGGTGAGAATAGAAAGATAT